GAGGGAAAAAAAGGGTAAATATTTTTCATTGCTAACAAAGTTGGGAAAAAATCTTGGCTAAAGTTTATTGGAAAAATTTCAAAGTTTTAAAAAATTTCTCTTAAATTAAGTTTACAGAGAAAAAGTGAATTTCGAAAAAAAATTGTTTTTATCGTAATAAAAACAATTTTTTTTCGAAATTCACTTTCTAGGAAAAAAATCGAAAAGTTTAAAATGTATTTTTTGTACTATTTTCTTTGTGGACAAAAATCAAAACGTACTTTGGGATTTTTGGACAATAAAATAATTTTTACTGTTTCAAAAAATTTCTATAACTTTTTGAAAATAAATAATTTAAAATGACACTTTTCAAAATAATAAAAGTGTCAAACTATTTATCGAAAAATTATGTTTCCAAAGTTTTGAACGTTCAACGAAAGAACTATTTTCTGTCTAAAATTTTATTAATTTTTAGTTTTTGATAGATTTCTTGTTATTATTTTTAGTTTTTTCAAATAAAAAAAAATGTATTTAAAAATTTAGTATTTTTTACTATTTTCTGTCTAAAAAAAAATGTCTTAAAAAAACTACTGAATTCAAATTTAATGTTTAGTTTGACTAAAGTTTTTATTTTCCTAAACTAAAAACTAAAGTAAAAAAATTAAATTTTTTAATAAATTTTTTTTTTCTCATTTTAATTTTCAGTTCAGGAAAATAAAAAAAAAAACACAGAAAGAAAATCTTACAATGCTATCAATTTTTATATATATTTGAAAATAACAATCAAAATGTAGACAAATGTTCTTTCCTTTTTTTCTATTATTATTATTTGCAAAAGGATTTTATTTTTTGGTTGGCAGTACGTGATATTTGGTGGGGTTTGAGTTTTAATAACTTGCCATTGGTTATTGGAATTTGCTGACTTGGCGTTCAATCCCATCGAAAGCTCGTTTTCATCCAGTTCAATTACTCGAGCAAACTGTTACCAGGTGGTTACTTTTCACTTTAAAGCAATTTTACATTCGTCTCCTTCTATCTGTACATAGCTGATTCTCGTATATATGTATATATATATATATATTTGTCATATTCAATCGAGAAATATCTTCGTGTTCAATAAAACGTGTCATTTGACCACTCATCACGTTTCAGAGATGAGTTTCATGAAAATTTTCCCAATAGTCAATTTAGTAGAGAAAACAAATTAACATTTTTTTTTTGTTCATAGAAATCTATGATTGAATTTCTAAATCCACTTTCAGGTCATTCTTTATTTTTTATTTACATTTTTTTAAGTAGCTAAATATTTCTTTTTCTAAAAGTTACAATTTTCTTTTTTTTTCTATATATTTTAATTTTTCTTCACTATTTTTATATTTTTTTATTTTATGTTTTTTATTTTATATTTTTATATTTTTTGATAAATAGGAATAAGTTTAAATAAACAGAAATCAGTAGTGTTGTAAGATTTTAGTCAGACATTTCTCGAGCAAAGACAATTTACTATTCAGTGATGAAATTCATTTTTAGTCAGACAAAACATTTGTCAAACAATTTGAAATCAGTAGTTTACGATTTTAGAGAGAAAATAGTAAAAAATAATAAATTTTTTTTAATTTCCAAGTAGTGGTAAATATATATTTAGTCAGACAAGAAGGAATGACATTTTTATTATTCAAATGTCAGTAGTAAAATATTTCTGTAGTCAGACGATTTTTTTGAAATTCTTAAAAACTCTCAATTAGTAGTAAAAACCATTTTTTAGTTAGACTCGATTTTCTTTAAATGATAAAAAAGATTTAGTCAGACAAAGAATTTCAATTTTTTATTTAAACTTTCGGAATATTTTTCTATGAACTAATTATAAGAAGAATACTTTTTTCTAGTAGTGATGTACAGTTTTAGTCAGACAATATTTTTCTAGCTAGTCGAATTCATTTGTTAGTGATAAAAAGCTGTTTTTGTCAGAAAAATAGAAGGGTACACCTATATTTTTAACTATATTAAAGAAATAATTTAAATATTTGACAAAATTATTTTTAAACTAATTTTTTGTCACGAATTCAATAGTCATAAAATAAAATCAGTCAGAAAATATTTTGACCCTTTTTGAATTTTTATTTTTCTTAAAAATTGGTGGATTTTAAAAACCATACGTAATTTTGTCAAAAATATGTTTTTGAATCCAAGAAAAAATTTTCAAATAAAAAAATTGATTTTCATAATTTTTATAGAATTTTTTTGAAAAAAATTTGTTTTTAGGCTAAAAATGCTAAAAAATACAATTATTATTCATTTTTTTTTGTAAAGAAAATTCATTTGTTTATTTTTCTTACTAATTTCAGATCACAATTTTATCCTAATTTTTTTTTTTTGTATTTTTATTTATTGTATATAAAAATTACGATTTGAAATTAGTTAGAAAAGTAAACAAATGGATTTTCATTTTTAAAAAATTAAGAATAATTGTATTTTTTGGCAATTTTAGCCTAAAAACAGGAATTTTTTTCAAAAAAAAAAAATGCTATAAAAATTATGAAAATCAATTTTTTTTATTTGAAAGTAGTAGTTAAACATTTCTGTAGTCAGGCAAAATATTTTTAATTCTCTAAAGCTCGGAATTGGTAGCAAAAAAGAGTTTCAGTCTGGAAATATTTTTTAAGTGATAGAAATGTAATTTAGTCAGACAAAGTGTTTCGATTTAATTTAAAAAATTGGAAATATTTATCTCTTTGTAGTATTCAATAAAAAAACATTTTTTTATTAGTAGTCATTACCAGTTTTAGTCAGACAATACTTTTCGAGCAGAGCAATAATCGTCATTTAGTTATAAAGAGCTGTTTAAGTCAGACAAAACACTAAACTTAAATTCATTACAGTCTTGATCAGTTTTAGTCGGTCAATATTGAAATTTATTAAAATAAAATTGAGTAGTAATTTAAATATTTCGCAAGACATAGTAAACAAATTTTTAAAAAAGTTTCTACAGTGGCACACTATGTCTGACTAAATATGCGTTTTACTACTAAAATTGCACTATCACTCTATTTTCAGTAGTAAATTAAAAAAATATAAATATTATTTTTTAAATTGTTTAACGTAAGAGCATTTTTTCAGTAGTGGTGTACTGTTTTAGTCAGACAATACTCTTCCAACAAGTACAATTCACTATAGTTAGTGATAAAATACTGTTTTAGTCAGACAAAGTACAAAAATGTAATTCTAGTAGTATAGGTAAGTTATAGTCAGACAATATTTAACGTTCCTTTTGTCGAAAATCAGTAGTTCAATCAGCCATAGTATGAAAGTTCCGAGAATTTATTTTGCAGGGATAGGAAATGTTTTTAGTCATACAAAATTATTCACCTCGTCTGATTCCATTTTACAGTGATAAAACCGTCTTTTAGTCAGACAAGTAGCTTAAGTTTTCCATAAATTATAGAATAAGTAGTGAAACAATCGCTTAATCATTTGACAATTGCAAAAGTCTAGAAAAATTAAAAAATCTAAATTCTAGAATTTAGTATTGTCAGTGATAAAAGTCAGTTATAGTCAGACAAAACAACTCAAATCGAAATTTTTAGTGATAAATAAATGTCTTCACTTTTAGTCAGGCATTCTTTATTAATTATTTTAAATTATATAAACATATTTATATATTTATTTATCGTTAAAATATTTATGATAAAAATCATTGTCTCCTTTATTACTTTCATTCCATTTTTTTTTTTTTTTTTTTTTTTTTTTTTTTGATAAAATTTCCGGATAATTCAATTTTCTTCGCAAATTTCGCCGCAATTTAAAAGTATATATACATACATTTTAATAAACTCTCTTGTATAAACTATATAAACTGCGTGTTTTGTGGGCGATAAAATATGTAATTAAACTATTAAGGGAGCATCTAAAAAGGGTTGTATTTTGCAAATAACAACCTGTTTATATTGAAAGAGCTCGGTTTATCCAATCTCTTCTATATATACATATATACGTTCATATATATACTATTCTACTGGCATTATGATCGCAATTTCACTGGCCATTACCCACAAATAACATATCCTATCATGTTATGCACAGTGACATGATTTTACGAATATTCGCATATCTCCGAAAATTGTAAATTAATTTTTTTTTTACCTCACAATATATTTTACAAAGTAAATGATAAAAATACCTACATAAAAAATAATTTTTCCCTAGAATTTCGTAAAAATTTGCCAATAAATAAAATTTTTTTACTATATCAATATTTTCAACAACAAAAAATCTCTTTGTTCAAATAGTTATTAATGAAAGGGGTTTAAATTTTTATTTTAGTAAAATAATTAAAATAAAGGGTTGTCAAAGTCAATTCGCTATTTCCATTGAAGCTCTGTGTCACTCTGTGTATAGAAATCGTATTGACTTTGATATTCCCTTAATAAATTCAAATTAATTAAACTATATATAAATATAGCAAATTAATAAATTACACATTTAATTAAAATACACTCTAAATACTAATTAATACAAACTTTTTCAATAAAAAGAACAAGAGAATTGCCACTAATTTACTTTCAAAGTAAAATATCGTTTCTTTTACAAATTCAAATCCTAGTTACTCTATTTTTTTTTTAAATTTACATTTTATAAATTTTTGTTGAGCAAATGATTTTATATGGATTGTGCGACATTTGAATTGGCAGAGGAGATGAAGGTTATATTCAAAGTTTACTTAATATTTCAATTCAGCTTGCGTTTTACGGTTTGCGTGGGGGGGAGGGGTCGCATACGGAAGTGATGGAGGGGGGAGGCGGATTTTTAATCTAAATTCTGTTTCAAAAGTAAAATTCGTTACTTTGATGTCGCACTGAAAAGCTTTAAAAAAAACACAGTCTTTGCTTTCTGCAAATTGAAATCGAGGCAAAAATGTATAGAATAATTTATTAGCTTCTATTTTATTCAATATATAACATCTTTTTTTTATATTGAGAATTTTATTTGTTAAACTTATTTCACTATTCCTTTTTTTTTTGCAGGTTATCATTCTGGATTCCATTCGATTAACTGTCAGGAGTTTGACGGTGAGTTTTATTACTGTTATTTGTTATTATTTGTTATTTAATATTACTGTTATTTGTTAATTGCCAAAAAACTTATTCCTTTGATAGCAAAATTTTACTATTTTATTCTACATTTTATTTTTTAATATCTTTTTTATTTATTATTTATTTTATTAATTATTAAGTTACTAACTCTATTAAGTTTCGGGAAAAATTTTTATTTTTATAAAATAGAAAATTCACATTTTAGTAAATGACATTTAAGATGTCATTTAAATAATTAAAGTATTATAAAGTATAAAGAATAGAGTATAAATGATAATTAAAAATAATTAAAGTAATTATTAAAATACAGAATAATCTCCTGTCTTCATGAACGAACCAAATGTCAAATTAGCTTTTCAATATTCGAATAGAAAATAATAGAGATAAATCGAACGTTTTAATAAAAATGACAAATACTACTTAATTCGTCGAAATGTCATAATTTCAAGTCCTAAAGGAAATATTTTATTTTTAAAAAATCTCTTTTCCGTTTTTTTTTTAATGTTAAATTTACCCTTCCTGTCACAACAATACGGAGAATTAAACTTCTTCTTCCTGAAGTGTCTGACAAAAAAAAAAATTTTTCTTCACATTTTTTTTCTAAAAACAAGTCCTACCGGGTTTTCGTGAAAGTTTGTTTCAAAATTCACAGAGTAGATGGTATGCGAGACGTTCTGAAAATGACGTTGATGTTTTTCTCCCTTGCATTCACACACACACAGACACACAGATATATATGAATGTGGCATATTTCATGTGTTAAGGATTTCCCACGTTTCCCGTCAGGGGAAAATGAAAAAGTTTTCTTTCAGACAAATATTCGTCAAGTTGAAAAGCTTAGGCCGTAAATATAACTGTTACATGTCAGAAAGAATTCCCACACTTAAATTTTTGTTTCCTACTTTATAGTCAAATGCTATTGGACAGTGAAGTGTAAAAATAAAATAGGTATGCGATTTTAGTTGCAAAAAAAGGGAGTTTAATTATAATTCAGTAGTGAGGAATAGTTTTGGTCAGACAAAATATTTAATTAAAGTGAAATTACGGAAATAAATGAAAAATGAAGAATTACATTCTAAACGAAATGAAAATACTGTTTTTGTTGAGGATTGAGAGTTTAGATTTTTTTTATCACCACTATTATTCACTCACAATAATTTTTTGAGTAACTTTAAAGATAAGCCATAAAACTTTATGGAAATCGGAACACAATCATCTTTGAAAATAAAACAAAACCATTTTAATTACAAAAAATTGATCAACTTTTATTTCAAAATCAATTTCACTTACACAAGAATTTCAAAATTAATAATAACCAGAGATGTCTGTTTTAAATCACTACAAATTTGACTTTAGTATTGTTTTTTTTTTTTTGTTTAGAAAGAAAATTGAGTGTTTCTCTCTTCTGTTCAAGACGAAGACTGATTCGATAAGGAATTCGTTACAATCCTGCAAATACCTTTCGGGTTACATCGAGAAAATTCGTAAATCTTACTAATACTAGGACATTCATAATAACTCAAATACTTGAATTAACACATATTCCTAAACAGTTTTACTAAAACAAATAACAAAATTTAATTTAAGTAGTATAGGTCAATTATAGTCAGACAATATTAAATGTTACTTTAATCTAAAAATCAGTAGTAGAGCATGTATTCTGTCAGACAGAGCATTAAAGTTCCGAGAATTTATTTTTATTTTTAGTCATATCAAATTATTCATGTCGTCTGATTCGATTTTTCAGTGATAAAACCGTGTTTTAGTCAGACAAGCTTTTTAAGGTTTTTTTAAATTATAAAATTATATATAATAATCGTCGTGATTCCAGATTTCCGGATCTCTGTCCACACTTGAAGTTAGTTATAGTTATTCTTTTGTTTTTTATACGTTTTGATAAAAAATAGAAATATACATATACATATACATACATTATAATAATCGTAAGTTTCCTTTCCGTTAGCAAATTATCTGCATTCATTTGTTTGTTTTGAAAATTTAATTTTGTGGGTTAAGTATTGGCATTTTTTATATATTTTTCAATGTCAAACTTTTTAATGTGGAAAATACTTTACTTATTTAATAGTCTCGACTCTTTGGTAAAAAATCTAAAATTATCAAAAATTCGAAAAAATTCAAAAATTCGATTTTCTTAAAATTCAACATTTTTTCCTCTCTTTTATGGGATTTAGCTTCATTATTTTTGTGCTTTTGGAAAATACTTTACTTATTAAATTGTCTCGACTCTTTGGTAAAAAATCTAAAATTATCAAAAATTCGAAAAAATTCAAAAATCTGATTTTCTTAAAATTCAACATTTTTTCCTCTCTTTTATGGGATTTAGCTTCATTATTTTTGTGCTTTTAGAAAATACTTTACTTATTTAATAGTCTCGACTCTTTGGTAAAAAATCTAAAATTATCGAAAATTATCAAAAATTCAAAAATCCGAATTTTTTAGAATTCAACATTTTTTCCTCTCTTTTATAGAATTTAGCTTCATTATTTTTGTGCTTTTGGAAAATACTTTACTTATTAAATTGTCTCGACTCTTTGGTAAAAAATCTAAAATTATCAAAAATTCGAAAAAATTCAAAAATCTGATTTTCTTAAAATTCAACATTTTTTCCTCTCTTTTATGGGATTTAGCTTCATTATTTTTGTGCTTTTGGAAAATACTTTACTTATTAAATTGTCTCGACTCTTTGGTAAAAAATCTAAAATTATCAAAAATTCGAAAAAATTCAAAAATCCGATTTTCTTAAAATTCAACATTTTTTCTTTTTTTTTATGGGATTTAGCTTCATTATTTTTGTGCTTTTGGAAAATACTTTACTTATTAAATTGTCTCGACTCTTTGGTAAAAAATCTAAAATTATCAAAAATTCGAAAAAATTCAAAAATCCGATTTTCTTAAAATTCAACATTTTTTCTTTTTTTTATGGGATTTAGCTTCATTATTTTTGTGCTTTTGGAAAATACTTTACTTATTAAATTGTCTCGACTCTTTGGTAAAAAATCTAAAATTATCAAAAATTCGAAAAAATTCAAAAATCCGATTACTTAAAATTCAACATTTTTTCCTCTCTTTTATAGGATTTAGCTTCATTATTTTTGTGCTTTTGGAAAATACTTTACTTATTAAATTGTCTCGACTCTTTGGTAAAAAATCAAAAATTATTAAAAATTATCAAAAATCCGAAAAATTGAATTTCTTAAAATTTAACATTTTTTTTCTCCTTTATACCATTTAGCTTTATTATTATTTGAATTTTTATTCAAGAGAAAAAATGGAAAACTGAAAAAATTTAGAAACTTTTAAAAATTCCAGGCTTTTTCCATGATTTCCCTGATTTCCAGAAGCCTTTTAAAAATTTCATACCATTTCCATGATTTCCATGATTTCCAGATTCTGTAGGAACCCTGCTTTTGTCTGACTTTCTTCTAAATTATCGAATTCAGTGATTTCTGGGGTGAATTTGGTTAAGTTGTAAAATGATTAATTTCTATTTGAATTCGTTTTTTTTTAATGTAGAAAATCTGATGTTAGTTTAATTCTTTTTTCGTTATGCACGGCAAAAAATATTTAGCTGGATGAACTACAGATTTCACTTTAGTAGCGAAATTATTTAGTGCTTCAATTAATACTTTTGTTATTCTAGAGAAACTTATCGCTATTTTAAGTAAAACTTTTTTCAGTGTGTAATAATTATTATTTCTTTAAAAAGTATTTAATTTAAAATGGCTTTATAAAATAAGCAATGCAAAAGATGACCCAGATACTAATTGTAATTGTTCTAGCCATAGTTTAAGTCTAGTAATGTAAATTCTATTTAAATTGAGACCATTGAGTGAAATTATTTGAATTTTAGTTAGTTAAATCTCTTTGTTAGGTTATAATAATTATTTCTTTGAAATTTTTTAAATTGTTTAAAATAAGCAGCCCCATATAACATTCCCGCGCGCTTGCGCGCGGATAGTTTGGCTAGTAAGTACTAAAACTCTTGCATAATCATTCGAAAATTGTAAAAATCTAGAATTTAGTTGTCAGTGATAATAGTCAGTTAAAGACAGTCAGAAAAAACAGCTCAAATTTTCAAAATTATTTGTGATAAATAAATGTTTTCAGTCAGACAAATTTTAGTTAAATAAAATTACGTTTCATTAAATAATTATGTTAACACTGTTTTACTCGAACAAAATACAAAATATAATTCTAGTAGTATAGGTCAGTTATAGTCAGACAATATTTAATGTTCCTTTTGTCGAAAATCAGTAGTAAAGTAGATGATCAATCAGACGTAGTATGAAAGTTCTGAGAATTTATTTTGCAGTTTAAGTTTTCCTTAAATTATAGAATAAGTAGTAAAATACATTATTTTCAGTAGTTAAACACAGTTTCAGTCAGTAAAAAAGGTAAAAACTATGTCTGACTAAATCTAAGTTTTACCACTGAAAATAAAATTTATAAAAGTATAAGTAAAATTTCAGTAGTAAAAGGCTGTTTCGGTCAGACGAAAGGTAAAAACTACGTCTGACTGAATCTGCCTCTTACTACTGAAAATATATTTTAAGCAATAAAAGGAAAATTTCAGTAGTAAAACGTAGTCTAAGTCAGACGAATGGTAAAAACTATGTCTGACTAAATCTGACTTTTATCACTGAAATTAAATTTTAACAATTATAAATAAAAAATTTAAGTAGTAAAAAGCAATTATTTTATAATTATAGAATAAATAATTAAACACTCTATATTCAGTAGTAAGGGGCAGTTTCAGTCAGACGAAAGGTAAAAAATATGTCCGGCTGAATTTACGTTTTACTACTGAAAATAAAATTTTGACGGTAAAAATAAAATTTCAGTAGTAAAACGTAGTTTCAGTCAGACGAATAGTGAAAACTACGTCTGACTGAAACTGCCTTTTACTACTGAAAATAAATTTAAAAAATAAAAAGTAGAAATAAAATTTCAGTAGT